TCATACCCTGTCCCTCCCTCTCTCTTCACACCCTGTCCCTCCCTCACTCTTCACACCCTGTCCCTCCCTCACTCTCTTCATACCCTGTCCCTCCCTCTCTCTTCATACCCTGTCCCTCCCTCACTCTTCACACCCTGTCCCTCCCTCACTCTCTTCATACCCTGTCCCTCCCTCACTCTCTTCACACCCTGTCCCTCCCTCACTCTCTTCATACCCTGTCCCTCCCTCACTCTCTTCATACCCTGTTTCTCCCTCACTCTTCATACCCTGTTTCTCCCTCACTCTTCATACCCTGTCCCACAGCTGCTTCAAGTCCCTGAGTGTGACAGTTATGGCAAAAAACAGCCTTTCACAGTGCTCCTCTCCATCCTTACACTCTCTCCGCCTCCTCTTCCACAGTCTTCCTTGGGCGTTGGTTGGAAGTGAAGAGGTAATGCAGACGTCCATGTAGGACCTGGCACTCAGTCTCTCAGTCTCTCATTTGACAAGTCACACATCTCTGCCTTAACTGCCGCCCGCTGCAGAGAGAAGCTTCTCTCACCAAGGAGGATAGCAGTTCAGCTCTCTGGGCATAAACGCAAATGTTTAGAGGAAACTTTGACATTACCATCTAGAAACCTTCCATAGGCTTTTGACTTTTGGTCAGAATTACAGTAGCAGGCATACCTCAAATCCCATCAGAAATCAGTTATTTACCCCAGTAACAGCCATGCCACTATGGCATTAGTGGACACATCTTGCCTGGCAGACTGCTTCCCCCAGTAACAGCCATGCCACTATGGCATTAGTGGACACATCTTGCCTGGCAGATCTGTGTTGCATTATACAAGGTCCAGTTCTAGGTAAGACTACTAACATCTTTTCTCCCCCAACAGCCTATGTAGTGCTTTCCAGAACTGTGAAAGGTGGCCATCAGGTAAGAAGTTTGCAGGTCAGTTTGAGACTGGTTTTCTATTTCCTATAGCCAACATGTGTGGTATCTTCAGCAATAAGGCCTTAACTATGAAGTTTGGTGAATAACCAAAGGCAATGGCAATAGTCTGTGTTGTTTTGGAGACCAATAACTCACAGGGAGGAGGTATCCCATGCCTAGTAATATAGTTTTCATTTTAAAACCCGTGTTTTCCAGTATTAACATTGGCCAGCCATGAGTAGTAATTCTGCCCAAACTATTTAGTTAGCTTATTAATTAGTAGATCTCCTTAAGGTTTTTTATATATCTTTTGTTCGGGATAACCTACCCAGTTTTCCTTTTCTCCCCCATCCTTTTGCCCCATCCCTGATTAATACTCCTTACTTTGTCTGACTGGCACATTGTGCATGTTTGTTTGCTCATGTACCTGTCTATGCATGTAACGCCCATTGAGTCTTTCTGCAAAACACATTTGCTACTGTGGCTATAGTAATCACTGTCTGTGTGCTCCTGGATGCCCAGTGCCAAGATTACCCTCAACCCAAGTTTCTAGGGACCCCTAACACGTTGAGGGAAAAGGCAAGATCCCTCCACATTCTGTCCCCACACCCCTAGCCCAACAGGGGCACAGTTAAGAACCCATCAGTGTCTGGGTTCAATCAGTGTAAGGCTTCAATTTCACCTCCAGTAAAACCATCATTCTGGAGGAAAGTCCAGTCATGAAGACAGCCAGCTTAAAGAAGAAACCATGACCACACAGTTCCTGTGGTAACAGCCCTGCCACTCCCCTGCCTGCTGAGAGTAATAAGTCCTAAGACCCAAAGATAAAGCTTGCAGTGGCTGCGAGCAGCCCCTCCGAGAGGATGCATCTCCCGGCTCTCCATCTGCTGCTCCTCCTCCTGGGCTCTAGCGCCAAGGCTGGTGAGTGTCGGGATCTTCCCTCTTAAATCTGCAGGGTCAGCTCCTAAAGCAATGGAGTTTAGTCTAACTTTTTGGAAGTCTGAAATGGGTCTCGCAGCGCTTCTCAAGAACCTGAGTGAAGTCTCCTTTTGGAACACACCCACCCATTCTTTAAAGCCATGGTGGTCTCCAAGAACACAGACGCTTGTGTTGACTGGGGGAGTGGTAATCCTAGAGCAAGCCGAGGGAGGCACCAGGAAAACAGGTGCATTCTCCTCATCTTTGGGGCTCAAGGCAGAAGTTTACCCTGTGGTTTTGCTGCTCTGTGCCTGTAAGGGGGCAGGACAGGAGGAAGCTGGACAGCTGTGCTGCCGAAGGGCCAGGGCCAGGGCATATGGGAAATCAAAAGGGGAAACTGCCTAACCCTGAGGCAGGATGGCAGCTGTGCCTTGAAGAAGAAGTGACTATTTGGAGGAGGGTGAGTTGAGAGTGAGAAAAGCTGATCAAGACACCTGAGAAGACAACGGGCAGCATTTGGGGCAAGGAGATCAAGGGAACCTTCTCCCAGCCTTAACCCAACTGTGTATCCTCTGGAGAGAGCATCCACACCTATGTCAGGCCCTGGGGTTCTCTCTGTTCTAGGGGAGATCATCGGGGGCACAGAGTGCAGACCACACGCCCGCCCCTACATGGCCTATCTAGAAATTGTCACTCCCGGGAATCACCTGTCGGCTTGCAGTGGCTTCCTGATAAGACGAAACTTTGTGATGACTGCTGCACACTGTGCAGGAAGGTGAGACGGGTGCTGTTTATCTCTAATGTGAAGAGAACCGTCAGGGTAGCACCCTGTGCAAACCCAGGTGAGACCTGAAGAGGGACCCTGAGTCTAGGTCAACTGACAAGAGACAGAGAGAGATGTTATTAAATAGATGCCCTGGGCCTCAGTCACTATAAATGCAGCTCCCCTCAGAGACGAGGGACATTACTCCAAAAGCATCCCCTCCATAACTCGTCAACAGAGAGAACTTATGGCTCACTTGTGAGTACTACTCAGTTTTTTCCGGGCCATCTCTCCTTGACATTTTCAAGTACACTGGCCATCAGTTCCCCTGGTCCAGAGCTGGTTATTTCTTTTTTGTTGGTTTGGTTGGTTGGTTTAGTTTGGTTTGGTTTTGCTTTATAAATTTATTTTCTTGTTTATTTTTTTGAGCTCATCGTTTCTAAGGAAGACAGAACAACATCCACAGGACATAAGCACTTCTTGCTTTGCTTGTAGCTCTTGCTGTAGAAGACATATAAAGTCCCCCCAAATTGGAGACTACTAACTCTGCCCCCTAGATCCTCCATTTCTTGCTCATTCCCCAGGGGAATCAGACCTAGAAAATGTGTCTGTTGCAGCCAACACTTTTTCTTGAAGCTTTTCTCTCCTGAAAGCTGACTTGAGCCCAAGATCTACCTTCAGGCCCAAGTACAGATATCTCCACATTGCTCTCCTGGTTAAAAACTGAGCTGTCCAAAATCATGGGTAGCCCAGTAAGAGGGTGGAAAGAAAGGACGGAAAGAGACCAGCATCCCAAGTGAGCAATTCCAGCCTTTTCTTAAATACGTTCATCTCTGCAGCTGTTGGTGTTTTCTGTTTGCGCTTTCTTTTTTGTTGTTGCTGTTGTTGGTTTTGTTTGTGTTTTGTTTTTGAAGCACAGTCTCAGGTAACTGGGGCTGGCCTCAAACTCACTATGTAGGTAAGAATGACCTTGAACTCCTGATCCTCACTGCCCACATACAGAGATTATAGGCCAGCATGGATAAGCAAGCCCTCTCCAGCCTCAGTCCCCATCCTTTCTCACAATAGGTCTATAACAGTCCTCCTAGGAGCCCACAACAAAAAAGTAAAAGAAGACACATGGCAGAAGCTCGAGGTTGAAAAGCAATTCCCTCATCCAAAATATGATGACCAGTTGGTTCTCAACGACATCATGCTGCTGAAGGTAAAAAGTTTCTCCCTCCATTGCACTCCCTTAGATTTTCCCTTCAAGTCCCCATTGCCCTGAGCTTTCCCTGCCCTTCTTCAGGAGACACTCTCTTCTCACCACCACACACACACACACACACACACACACACACACACACACACACACACACACACACGATTGGGCTTAGTATTTTGCCCTTTCCTTCGCTGATTGCCTGTAGCCACCTCTTAGTCCATGATCCTCACGAAGAGCCCCTTGTTCCCTTCACAGTTGAAGGAGAAAGCCAACCTAACCCTAGGCGTGGGAACCCTCCCATTCTCAGCCAAATCAAACTCCATCCCACCTGGGAGGGTGTGCCGGGCAGTTGGCTGGGGCCAAACAAAGGTGAATGAACCACCCTCTGACACTCTGCAAGAGGTGAAGATGAGAACCTTGGATCCCCAAGCCTGCAAACACTTCAAGAGTTTTAGCCACGAACCCCAGCTGTGTGTGGGCAATCCCAAGAAGATTCGAAATGTATACAAGGTGATCCTCTTACTAGTTTTTTTCAAAAAACCACTGCTAAGGGCCAGAGTGTAAAAGGAGGCGGGACAGAAGACTGTCAGTTAATCACAGTTTAGGAATCTCAGGAGTGAGGAAACAAAGTATCCATCTTCCATCTGCTGTGCAGAGAACATGGGGTGATGTGAGGTAGGTATGGTGGCTGCCCCGGGAAAGAATGATGCCCGCAGCATCAGGCTCCTGGGCTGACTCTAGATCTAATTGCAACTCCAAGGTGAAAGGGGTGGGAGAGGTAGAGGCATTCATTCATACATTTCCTCTCTGTGCCTCCCCAACAGGGAGACTCTGGAGGACCTCTCCTGTGTGCTGGGATAGCCCAAGGCATCGCATCCTATGTACATTGGAAAGCAAAGCCCCCTGCTGTCTTCACCAGAATCTCCCATTACCGGCCCTGGATTAATAAGATCTTGAGGGAGAATTAGCTCTGGAGCTTGGAGCCTGTGATTTAATCTGAAGCTGAAATTGAGCAGGTTTTGTGTGCCATGTGCTTGAGCCTGTCTTAGTTCCTGCTGAAGCCCTGCCAACTCACTGATCTCTCTGAAGTTCTTACATGTCTCAGGAGGTTCTTAAAGGTCAATAAACCTCAATAAAGACCCAGATTCTAGACTGCAGTGTGAGTCTCCTCTTTCGGCTGCTCTCTTCTCCCTACACACAGCAATCTGATTCATGGTTTAAATAGCTGAGTATTTGGGAGGGAGTCTGTGGGAGTGGATAAGTGTGAAGGAGCTGGCAAAGACAGGATACACAGTGAAACAGGCAGAGAGATGGGAAATAAAGAAAATGAGAGTTTTCCTGGAAAGGCAAGGTCTACATTTCTATATTAAACAAGAAATTACACCCATTCCTTATCTTATTCTCTCTCTCTCTCTCTCTCTCTCTCTCTCTCTCTCTCTCTCTTCTCTCTCTTCTCTCTCTCTCTCTCTCTCATTGCATATCTCTCTCTCTCTCTGTGTGTGTGTGTGTGTGTGTGTGTGTGTGTGTTATAGACACATGTGTGTGTATACATAGGTGTACATGCCCATGCACAAACAAGCAGGCCTGAAGAGAATGTCCAGTGTTCTGTGCTATCACTCTCTGGCAGGACCCTCTGAGACAGGGTCCTCAGTGAGCCTGGAGCTACACTGTGGCCAACAACCCCAAAGATCCTCCCCTGCCATAGTGTTGGGGTTACAGGCACACTTAACCACACCCCATTTTTATATGGGTGCTGGGGCATCAAACTCAAATCCTCATGCTCTCACAGCACACTCTCTTAGCCACTGAGCCATCTCCCATTCTCTAGCTTAACTACTAACCCTGTAAAACTCTAATTCATATGAAATAATTCAGAATCACTGAGAACATTTTGTATTGCAAACAGGATGTGGGACCTTTAACATATTTCTGGCCTCTCTCCAGTAGAGACCAGTAGCAACACACTCTACACACCCAATCAGAATGTCTCCAGATACTGAGGGCAAAAGTACAGAATCCCCTTCAGGTAAGGATCACTGCTTCCCTGGGCAATATAGACAGGGCAGATAAGGTCAAACAATCTGGAAAAGAGATCTTCCATCTGTAAAGCTCTAATGGGGTGCAGGGGGCATTGCCTCTCGCTTGCTGGCACAGAACAAATGCCAGAAGCAAAGAAAAATAACCACAAAGTCAGCTTTTGCAACACCCATCCATCCACAAAGACTACCAGGAGCCCAAGGCCTACAGCGGCTCAATACAAACATTCACCCATAAGAGGAATAGTTGGAAGAAAGCAGGCTAGGACATCAACTGGAGCCTGAGGCTGGCAATGCCCATGGCTTTGGGGGGGCATGGTGAATCCCTTTGACAAAGCAAATTATTTCCAGCAATTCCTCAAGAAGTAACTTTACAGGCTAGAGTAATGGCTCAGAAATGACTGCTCTTCCAGAGGTCCTGATTTCAATTCCCAGGAACCCCATGGTGGCTCACAACCTCTATAATCAGATCTGGTGCCCTCTTCTGGTGTGCAGGCAACACTTTATACATAATAAATAAATAAATATTTCAAAAAAAGAAGTAACTACTGAGAAGATGGTTCAGCAATTAAGAGCATTGGCAGTTCTTCCAGAGGACCCAGGTTCAATTCCCAGCACCCACATGGTAACTCATACCTGTCTGTAACTCTAGTTCCAGGGCTTCTATGACACCCTCACACAGACATGCGTGCAGGCAAAGCATCAATGCACATAAATAAGTGGATATGCATGAATATTGGTATATAAATATTTACATCTCAACATTCTTAATTTTAAAACAAACTGGAATCCCACCCATAGAACAGAATTTAAGTGGTAAATTTCTAAGACTAAATATTTTGATAATCGACTATTTGTTTTCAAACACATTTAATAATGCAGGAAAAAATTCAGTACAATACTTTTTAAAAGGCAATGTGAAAATTTCTCCATGGTCAAATCTCAATTTTAGTTATATATAGTGTATAGTCATACTAACAAACATGGAAGCGGTCATATCAAAATAATTTGGGGAATTGTCTGTAGGGGACTAATGGCTATTTCTGCTTTGTTTATACACCCCATATGTTCTGACCATGGAGACTCAGCACTGGGTAACTGCATAAACCCCTCTCCAGTCCCCATCGGTCAAGTATTGCCTCATGGAAGTAGCATCCTGTGCTTATGACTCTCACAGCTGAGCCGTCCAGAAAGCTAGAGAAGTTGGGGTGGGGGGGGTGGGAACAGAAGTGATAGTCGTTTCTCAACAACGGCTGCTGTGGCTGTACATGGGAGTTCTTTGGTCCTTAGCAGGGACAGTGGTGGCCAGGGATGTTCATAAATGTTTGTGAACATGGGAACTGCATGAACTCAGACAGCTGACTGAGGTGACAACAAGCACAATGACCCTGATTCAACCCATCTCTCGACACCCAAATCCATTCGCATATTGGGAACAAGGTGTCAATTCTTCTTTCCTAAGGGGGCAGGCGCAGGTCCAAACCCTCAAAGGTGCAACATGAAAAGATTTACAGGGTTGAGGTCAGAGATGCAGAGTGGTCCGCAGCTAGCTGGCTGGTGCTCACGGGCCATGTTCCGTCCAAGCCTCATCTCTGCCTGGGGCGGGGGAGGGGAGGAGGGGGGTGCTCCATGCTGCAGTCCCTTCTCTCAATCTCGTGAGCTGAGGAAACTCAGTCAGCTTCTAAAATGAACTCAGCTGATGACTCATGGCAATTTCTATATTAAAAAGTGGTGCTTATTTTCCTGCACTAGACAGCAAAGGAATAGGACAGTTAGTGGAAATACTGTAATCTAATAAGCAGACTAAAAAAAATGACAAAGACGCAGACAGTGGGTGGTGGAGAGAGGTTTATACACCTCAATCTAGAAATGTTAGTTAGAATAATATAATAAAAGACCAAGACTCAGGATTTCCAGATGGACACTCTTCTTTGAGAGAGACAGAGATAGAACAAGGCCATGGCTGTAAACTTGTCAGCAACCATGGAAACAGAGGGAAGAATAAAACATTTTCAAGTAACCCAGAATCGAACTCTAACCTATCAAGCCCTCACTCCCTTTTTGATATTTTATTTTTGTGTGTACATCTACATGCATGCATGTGAGACGGTATGTGTGTACATGTGTTCAAGCATGTGTGTGTTTATGCAGGTGGAAGACAGAGGTCAACCTCAGTATTGTTCCTAACGTGACACCCACCTTGATTTTTTGAGGTAGTGTCTCTAACTGGTCTCACAGCCTGCTCACCAGGTAGACTAGGCTGGCTGGCTGGTGAGCCCCAGCAATACACTAATCTCCCCCTAGGAGAGATTAGGCTTTTTTTTTTCTTTTACAGGGGTTCTGAAGACCTAGTTCAAGTCCTCAGCATTGCACAGAAAGCATTTTTCCAACTGAGCTACCCCCCCAACACATACACATCATCTTGTTTTTTTAAGCCTTGAACCAGTAAGAACTGTACTGGAGCCAAATATGCAGGCCACCATCCCCAAGTGTTCTCCCCAAGCCACCAAGGCCTGGGTTGCTGATTCCAGTAATCCTTCAGATAAGCAGATAACGACATTTCAACTCAAATCCTTACTTCAAGCATAGATAGAAACTACTAATGTTTAAATTTTCTCATCTTGGCCTGGAGAGATGGCTCAGTGATCAAGGGCTCTTGCTCTTGCAGAGGATCTGAGTTTGATTGCAAGCACCAACATAATGGCTATCTGTAACCGCAATGCCAGGGGATTCTGTGTTCTCCAGGCACACACATGGTGAACATACATACATGCAGGCAAAACACTCATACTCATAAAATAACAAAATAATTTTAATGTTTTAATTTAAAAATTTTGCAAATAGTTGATCTGAAACAAACTCACTGGGAATATTTTTCTTGTGTAAAACTTCTAACTAATGTGAATATATATCCAAACTATATTTCATTTTTTACATGAAATGTGCTCTGTGAAATAATAGTAATATCAGTGCAATTTAATTAAATAAGTGTACTTGCTAGTGGTTGTTCTCAAATAGTTTGTGACAGCTGGGAATATGACTCAGTTAGCAGAATGGTTGTCTACCATGCATGAAGTCCTGAGCTTGACCCCCAGCTCTGTATAAGCAACATGAACTAGGATGGTGACACATGCCTGTCATCACAGCACTTAATAGGTAAAGACAGGAAGATCAAAAATTCAGGATCTTCCTGGGGTACAAGAGAATTTGTCTGAAAAAAGATGACTCATGTCAAACCAGTCACATTTGAATTTGGATAATAGCAAAGAAATTAACTTTATTGTCTATTAGCAAGAATTAGTCTTTTAAGATTCTTAGATCAGTAGATTTAGTTACAGCGAATATAGCATCTAGCATATGCAAGGGCTGAAACCATTTGGAAGGTAAATGCCTGAGGAACACCCCAGCCTGTAATAGGCCAAGACCCCAGTATGAGGCCAAAATTCTTAGTGAATTTTACTAGCTTGTAACACGGCAAGTGTATAAAAGTCACTTGGGACTTTTCGAAAGAGGCATGATGTGTACTCTGCTGGCTTCTTAAATGCAGTGGGTTAACATCTGCCAACAGATGTACTAAAGTGAAACCATTTTTTTATTCTTTTCACATATATTGCACCCCGACCACAATTGCCCCTCTCTCCCATCCCCCACCCCTTTCCCCCAGATCTACTCTTCCCACTCTGTCACCCCTCAGAGTGCAGGCCTCCCAAGGATGTCAACCAAACATGGCATAACAAGCTACAATAAGACCAGGAACATACAATCACATCAAGGCTGGATGAGGCAACCCAGTAGGAGGGAAAGGGGTCCCACGAGCAGGCATTAGAGTCAGAGACAGCCCAGGCCCCCACTGTTAGGAGTCCCACAAGAACACCAAGCTACTCAGCTATAACATATATGCAGAGGACCTAAGTCAGACCCCTACAGGCTCC